ATATTTATTAGTCTTTAAAAAGACTGACACATATTACTTATTAGCCTTTATCAATCTTTGATTTCTTATCTTTTTCCTATCACTTTTTTCTGTCACTTTATTTTATATGACTTTCTTCCTGGTTATAACATCATTCTGGCTTACTTCTTTTCTCAAGAATTCTGAAAACAATTAGAGACACATTGCTGACCATTAAAAGTAAAGGTACTTTATAAGATCTGTGTGGAATTCTTATACAATTAATAAAGTTTGACAATAAAATAAAATTTCTTTTGGTTTTTTTGGTGCCGGGGATTGAACTTGGGTCCTTCCGCTTGCCAAGCAGGCAGCAGAACCACTGAGGTAAATCCCCGGCCCAAAATAAAATTTCTTTACAAGAACTAAGACTCTGCAAGGACCTGAGTTCCATCCCCAGTACCAAAAAAAAAAAAAAAAAAAGAACTAAGACTCAACAGACTACAATCAAATAGTCACTTTTTTTCTTATCCATGACTTGATAGCTTTTATGTATTTGTCTGACAAATGACATTATATCCATCTACTAGGCCTGCCTGTCTCAATATCCTTACAGACTACAGAAAAAAACAATCCTGCCACTGAGTCTTACATTAAACAAAGACACGGCCCCAGCGCGACAGGTGAGGTTACCAAGACTGCTGACTTGACAGGGTGCGAAGCTGTGGAGGGGTGTGAGCAGAAGCACCTCCCAGCCCCACCCGTTCCTTAGCTGTCTTTTTCCTTGGGGGCAGGGATTACATTTATGTTTTTGTATCCTCAGCACTTCTCATTTCTGGACCCAGAACATAAGTATTACTGAATCAGTGGCTAGATCTTTATTCTGCGTCAACTGACCTACTGCTGGACAACCAAGCTTAGTATCTGGGAGTAATTTTTTTAAATTTTTCTATCATATTCAACTGTTTCCAAGTCCTGTATGTTTTATTTCACAAAAACATCTGGAATCTGCCTCTCCACTGACACTGGCCTTCTCTTGGTCCTCACATCTTTTGCCCAGACCTTCTGTCTTCTAAATGGTCTCTCTGCTTCCTTTGTTCTCCTTGCCAGCCCATTCTCTACATTGCTAGTTAGAGCCCATTTTCTAGAAAAGGGATCTCATAAAATTATCATTTGGTTAAACATGTTAGTAATTCTCTCACGCATAGAAGATAAGTATAAATGTCTTAGTATTACATACACTATCAGGCCCCAAGCTACATTTTCCAGTCTGTATCATTCTGACCTGTTCCTCCCAACATAACCCTTCTAGCCTAATCCAAGGTCACTTCCACTGCTGCCCCACTAGAACATCATGCTTCACACAGACCTGACCATTCTCTGAATGCATGTGCTTTGTGCCTCTCAGTCTTCACGTTCTGACAGCCCTTTATGGAGAACCCCCTTCCCAACTCTGGAAAACTGAGACCAGTAATTCCAGACCCAGTTGAAGTCCTTCTGAGAATTCTTGTCTGACTTTCTCACAGCCCATCACTCTCCTCTTTCATTTCTACAGCACTTTTTACAAATCTCTAGTGTGGCTCTTATAACACTGTACTACGTTACATGAATGCTCTGTTCCATAGGAAAAATTAAAGGAAAGATTGGATTCTTATTTGTGTCCTTAGGGCTTAGTACTTGTGGTACTGAGTGGGGACACTATAAGCACTTGAATGAATTCCAAATCTTTGCCTTTCAGGTCACCTGGCTCCCATTCACTGCTCTGATTTTCATTCTGTACAGCTGTTCCCCACCATTATTTGTACCATTTGAGGACTCTGGGTTACGCTTTATGTTCCTGTTGTTCTGCTCCCATAATGGCAGGAAGGAAACTCAATACTGCCACATAAGTGATAAAGAGGTATACTAGGTCCATTAAATATTACTTCCAACCGAGTTTCTCAATGTCCAGCATGCTTGTAGCTGTACTCTAGTTAATATTTTTCAAGAAAAATTCTAGAAAGTCAACACTAACCCCACCTTGAGGACTGCAAAGTTTTGAATAAGTAACATGAATCTTAAAGAAAATAGGGCTATGGGTCCCATAGAAAAAGAAAATGGATGGAAGAGAGGATCTTCTGTAGATTGTAATTTCTGGAGTAAGTGTGTGTGATAGTTCCAAGGATGTTTCTCTGATGTTAATGTTTGTTATGCCCAAAGATGATCTCCCTCATTTCGAGATTCGAAGAACATCACATAGCTGCTTACACACACGCACACAATGCAGAAGTTACTAAAGTGGCAACATCATTTTAAGAAATTACTTCAATCAAAAGTTCTTAGGTGGAGGCTCAATAATTGTCTCTCAATTAGTTGTTTTTTCCCAATATATGCTTGGAATATTTACCTGAAGTTTTTTAATGACTGTTTCAATCTGTTCAGAAAAGTGTGTAGCAACAAGCTCTGCAGCTTTACAGGGCTTCAGGGATACAAGCTCCTGGAGTTAAAGGAAAAGATAAAGCCGGTCAAAATGGTATATTTAAATAGAATGCCCAAAGATATGAGATATGATTACCTACCTCAATATTGTCACAAGTGTCCACACTGTGTTTCAGGAGACCTTGACACAGGGCCTCCATTTAAAGTGTACATTGCAAATGAGAAAAATTGGAAATGTTTCATATAATAAAACAGAATTTGGCTTTTAAAGAGGGTAATTTTGAATTCTTAGAAAATGAAAGCACTATAAACTCTGGATTCTGGCCATGATATCTACAGGATGAACAGAAGGAACAAAAGCTTCCCGAGTTCTCTTCAATGAATCTCACTGTTGAGCTTTAAAGTAATAACTGCAAGGAATGGGAAAAAGTATAGCTGCAATTCCTCTGGCTAAGAATTCTAAAACCTTACCTCTGGTGCCTCGTGGATTCAGAAACCTGAAAGTATCTTAAGGAATCGACTTAAGGTGCTAAACCTTTTTTTAATTAAGTTTATTGATACATTTTAGATAGACATAATGATCACATTCATTATTGGGAATTTGTACCTGTACATGTATATCTTGATTCTTTTTTTTTTCCCCATTCCCCTGCCCTCCCTTCAACCCTCTTTCCCCTCCTTATTTACAAAAGCTTTGTTTCCATTTCTTCCTTCTTTTCTCATTTTCTTTTCCTTTCCCTTCCATTTCCCCGTCCCCTCCCTAGGTCCCCTACCCATTTAAACATTTTCTTCCTATTTCACGATATCTATTATACATTTTGGTCCTCACACTTTCAGTTTCTTACACCAGAGAAACAATGAGGTATTTACATATGAGTGTCAGATTTATTTCACTTAAAAGTATGGTCTTAAGGTGCGTCTATTTAGCTATAAATGTCTCAGGTTTATCTCTCTTTATGACTGAATAGTACTCCATTATTTTTTAAAAATCACATCTTTATCAATCCAGCATTTAGGCTGTTTCCAAGATTTAGCTATTACAAATTGTGCTGCTATAAACATGGGTGTGCATGTATCACTGTGGTATGGTGCTTTTCATTCTTTCTGGAAGATACCAAGAAGGGGAATAACTGGGTCAAATGGAACCTCTAGCTTTAGTTTTTTGAGGAATCTTTACACTGATTTCCACAGTGGTTGCACCAGTCTAAACTCCCACCAGCAGTGGAGAAGGGTTCCCTTTTCCCCAGAGCCCCTGCAGCATTTGTTACTGGTTTGTTTATTAATAACAGCCATCCTTTCTGGAATGAGATGGAATCTCAGTGTTGTTTTAATTTGCACCTCTCAAATGAAAAGGTACCAAATCTTTTTTTTTTTCCTTTCTCTTTTTGGTACCAGGGATCAAACTGAGGACCTTGCACTTGGGAGGCAGGCAAAGCACCACTGAGCTAAATCCCAGCCAATAACGTACTAAATCTTAAAGGAGACTAAATATCAGTACTGTAAATTAACCACATTAATAAGACCTATTTCTGCCAAATCTAAGATTTCTAATCTGTCCTATCTTTGAAATTTCCTTGATGTCACTGGCTATCTTTTTCTTCTTGAAACTCTCTTCTTTCTTGGATTATATGCTGCCTTTCCAGGTAGCCGTTTCTAGTTGGGAACACTACTCAACCAACCACAGCCACAAGACACAGCTAAATGCAAAGACTAAATGCAGACCAGCATAGCATATTATCTAGTAAGACCTACACAAGTTATTATAACTGAAACATTCATGATATATTTAATAATTATTATTAGGTAGTATTTGTAAATTAATAACAATTAGCTGACACAAATAATTATGATGTACACTAACAAACTACATCTCAAAAAAGAGTATAAACTAATCTGTTGCACAAACAAAAGATATCGTGTAACTAATTGGAACAATAAAAAGAATTTATTAATCACAAGAATTTAAAAACTTAGGCAAAATAGATAAATTCCTAAAAAGTATAATTCAATAAACTGATTTAAGAAACAGAAAGCCTTGGGCCGGGGATTTAGCTCAGTGGTTTCACTGCCTGCTGCGCAAGCGAGAGGACCCGAGTTCGATCCCCAGTACCAAAAAAAAAAAGAAACAGAAAGCCTTAATCAATTTTCAACCATAAAGAAATTGGTAGGCGAGGGATGTGGCTCAGTGAAAGAATGCTTGCTTACCACAAGTACCTGACTTTGATCTCCAGCACTGGGAAAGAAAACAACAACAACAACGACAACAAACATTTTAAAAAGGTAGTCACGATAGCACACACTTGTTCCCACTACTCTGGAGGCTAAAGCAAGAGTTGCCCAAGTCTAAGAGTTCAATGCCAGGCTGGGCAACATAGCAAGACACTGTCTCAGGAAAAAAAAAATAAATGAGTAGTCAAAAATCTTTCCATATGGAAAATAAATGGCCATATGGCCTCATTGGAAAGTTCTAGTAACTGCAGTGGTATCTTGGTTCACAAACACTTTTGTTTGCAAAAAATCTGGCGTGCAAACAGAAGCCTTTGGCAAATTTTTGTTTTTGTTTGCAAACTCTGCATTGGGTGACAAACACAACTGCAGCCATCTTTCTCACACAAACACAAACGTGGCCAGCTTTTCCAAAGTCATGAAACAAATTAAGTTCTGAACTAAGGTATCACTGTACTTAAGGAAAAAATAACTCAAACATTAACCTCTTGCAGAGGAGAGAAAAAAGAAAATTTCCTCAGCTCATTGTATGAGGCTAGCGATATTTTGACACTCTAACCAATTAGACAATATAAGAAAGGAAAACTAGAGATCAATCTTATTCATGAATATTGATACAATATCTTGAATAAAAATGAAATCCAAATATATTTTAAAATAATTTATCAGTATCAAGTTGAACTTATCTGTGGAATTCAGGGTTGGTTTAATATCAATAAAGTTTATCACAAAAACAGAATAAGAGAGAAAAGGTGAAAAAGTTACTACTTCATGAGGAAATCCTCAGCATACCAAAGATAAAAGGAAACTTCCATAAAAAGCTTTTCAGTAAACATCAGACTTATGCTGAAAATGAAATTTTAAAAAACACCATTAACAGTAGCACTAAAAAAAAAAAGCTGTAGCTGGGTGTGGTGTTGCAAGTCTGTGGTCTCAGCACTTTGGGAGGCTGAGGCAGAAGAATCACAAATTTGAGACCAGCCTAGACAACTCATTGAGACCTTGTCTCAAATAAATAATTTTTAAAAATTTCTTTATTTTTTGATACTGGGGATCGAACTTGGGACCTTGCGCCTGCAAGGCAGGCGATGGAACAGCTGAGCTAAATCCCTAGCCTGATAATTTTATTTTAAAGGGATGGGAATGTATCTCAATGTGAAGGCCCTGGGTTCAATCCCCAGTACAGGGGGGAAAAATAAGTTATGACAGTAAATCTAAAAAAAGGATGAAAAACCTCTATAGTTAAAATCTTAAAACATTACAGAAAGATAATACCATTAGGCATGGATTGGCAACTCAATTTATAAACATTATCAATTATCTTCAAAATGATGGACAGATTCAATCAAAAGCCTGTCAAAATCATGAAGTTTTCTTTCTTCCTTTTTTTCTTTTTAATGGAATTTGGTAAGTTAATTCTAAAATGCATTTAGAAGGAACATAAAGATCATAATAGCCAAGACTCTGTTAAAGATATCAAGACTTACCATACAGTACAATAATTAGCATGATACAGAGATAGAAAGGTAAATCGGCCAATGAAAGAGAAAGACCAGAAAAACAGTCCAAGCATATAGATCCTTGCAATGTATCTCTGCAGAACAATGGGGAAAGGCAACTTCTCAAATTATTGCTGCTGGGAACACTGGACACATATAATTTTAAAAATCAATTGGACCACTACTTCATACCACATACAAACACTGCTTTTCGATGGAATGCTAAAAATTAAATAAAAAATCAAGGGTTAGGGGGTCTAGCTCAGTGGTAGAATGCTTGCCTAGCACTCATAAGGCCCTGGATTTGATCCCAAGCACGCAAGGAAGGGAGCAAGAAAGCTTTTAGATGACAGATAATAAAGGAGGACATCTTTTGTTTATCTGTACTTGGATGTATAACAGACTGGCCTTGATCTAACAAAGAAGACATCTTCTTAAGTATAAAGGGAGAAAATCGATTATTTTGATGATTAAAAAAACAACTTTTCTTACAAAGAACAACAAAAAGATTGAAGGACAGGAGCCACAGAATGGGAGAAGATATTTACCACACGTATGTCTAAAAAAGAACTAACCTCCAAGATACATAAAGAAATTTTACAAATCAGTGGATATAAAACATTCAAATAGAAAAATGGGCAAAAGGCTTCAATGAACACATCACAAAAGAGAATTTAAATGGCCAATAAACATGAAAAGGCTGTCCATGTTATTTGCAATTAAGGACATATAAATTTAAAACATAATGAGTTACCATTACACATCCAAGATTGGATGAACATAGGTGCTGAGACTGGGAGAGTTTTAAAGTCTAGCAAGGATATACAGTTGATGGGAATTCTCTAATGCTGGCATCCACTGAAGCTGAAGATATCAATCCCAATTACCTACCCATCACATATCCTAGAGCAGGGATTATCAGTCATCTCGCACCATAATCACTTGGAGGACTTGTTAGAGCGTGTTGTTGGGCCCTACTCCTAGAGTTTCTGATTCAGAAGGTTTGAAGTGGAGACTGAAACTGCATTTCTACCAAGTTCTCAGCTAAAGTTGGGCACCAGACTGAGAACCATTGTGCTAGTGAGATGCACGTGGCTGTGCTCAAGATAACGTACAGTACATAATATATATTAGATACATACATACATACATATATATGATCATGTACAGATTATTTTTAATAGTCCAAAACCAGAAACAACTGAAATGTCCATCAACAGTAGAATGGAGAGACTGTTATGGTTTGTGTCTAGATGTGGCCCCAAAGTCTCATGTGCCCATAGGTAGGGTTTTTGAAAGGTGATTGCATCATGAGGGCAAGACATCATGGGTTCATAGCTAAACGTGATGTTGGGAGGTGAAGCCTGGTTGGAGGAGGTGGGTCCCTGAGGACATGGCCTGGAAGGGCCCATCTCCCTTTCTCTTCCTTTGATTTCTGTTTCCCAGTTGCCATGCCATGAGCTTGTCAGCCCCTGCGCCATGCTGCCCTGCCTTGAAGCCAGGCAACTATGGACTGAAATCTCTACAAACTGTGAACCAAAAATAAACATTTCTTCCTTAATTCGTGGGTGTCAGGTATCATGTCTCAGTGATGAGCAAAGTAACTAAGACACAGACTGTGATGTATTTATAAAATGGAGTATTATACATAAACATAAACTGCAGCTAACAACAACAAAAGATACAAACCTTTCAAACAACATATTGAGCAAGAATAAGACAGAAAATTCAGAGTGCAATTTAAGTTCAAAACCAGGCAAAACAAAAACATACTTGGGGATGCATACAGATACAGTACCGCTGTATAGAAAGGAAATTATCACAACAATGGGGGTGTGACAGGGATGTTGGTGGGAGGGCAAGGTAGAGGCAGAGGACTGAGAGGGAAAAGATATAGGAAGAATCTAAAGTAGTAGACATACGATGCTTTTAGAGCTGAGCTTAGAATGTTTACTTTTTAATTTTTAAAATTAAACTGTACATTTGCTTTATGCGGTTTTATGAATTTTTTATTTAAAAACAAAATACTCTTTAAAATTCAATGAAATATGTTCTGCCTGTATTGGTGAAATCATCTAAACCAGAAATTCTTCACTAGGAATCCACAGGTCCAACCTAAAAGTGGGTTTTAGAAGTCTTTGGATTCCTGAAGCTAATAAAAATCATGTTCCTAAGCACATATGTAACATTAAAAGGTACAGGTCCAAATTTTTCATTAGAGCCTCAAAAAAGGTCCAGAACTCCAAAAGTACTAAGAACTACTAAGTTAACATTGTATATTGTCAAAAAATTATTATGATAACTTTTCCCTATGTGCTTTTGTTGATTGTTTACATTACTGGAGACAGAAGTCCTTCAATAAAAGTCCTTTCATATGCTTGTAATCATGGCCTTAAGAGAGATGAAAAGGTTTGAGGTGAAACAATGTGCAGATGTGATTAAAAAAAAAAAAAAAGAGTCAGCAGAAATAATTTTTTTGTAGCAAAAATACTTCTTGCTTCTCTCCCATGAGTTTCTTGCTGAATAATTTGTTTGCTCATTGATTAATGTATCACGTTTCACATTATGCAGAGAGACACAGCTTCATTTCTGGGTGTCTGGAGTCTGTGTGCTCAAACCACTGCATAATGCAGATGAATTAAAATGAAGAATGAACCATAATGTAACTACGGAGATCTGAAGTGGATGATGAAAAAGGAAACAAAACGAATACTAACGGGAAACAGAGGTAAAACTCAGAACTGGAGGAAGAGCTTGTTGGGTTCTTTCACCGAGACCCATTCATCTTGTTTGGAAGATGGTAAGATTAAACAGGATGGCCCACTTTCTCTACCCTACAGACGGGAGGGTGGCAGACGCACCAGACCACACACCTCTCACTCCCTGCACCAGGTTTCATACTGGATGCTCACCTAAGGTGCTGCCCACATGTCTTTCTAAGTATGAAAAGGCTTTAATCCTCACGTAAATCAACATCAATAATATGGTATCTGCCACTGCTTAGTTAGCAGAAAGTTAATTTGGAAGAATGTATTTGACAGGAAAATTTTAAAAGTTTTAGTGAATCAGTACCTCAATATGATCCATTGCTTTGTGCCACACAGACTGCTTCTCCTCGGCACTGTGGCCAGGAATGGATAAGATGTTGTGAATATAATTAAAGGCTTCTTCCTGAAGAGCACAAGACAACATGACTTACTCACCCCTTCACTGGAACTGTATTCAGTCACTACCTACTATCTGTATCAGTCTTCGTAAATATCTATTATTTGAAGATGGAAAACCATTTAGAGACAGTTAACTGAGAGAAAACAGACATGAAGAAAAAGAGTAATTATTTAAAGTCCAGGGTAGAATCTTAGTAGTTACAAGTCTGTTCCAATTAATTTTGGTCTCAATTTATTAGCCTTCAGTGACTTAATAGAGTAATATCATACTTTTCCTTTTGGCAGTCCCTTCCCACATTCCCAGTTTCATCTCAATTACTCTTTTCCTTGTCTAGTATGCCCTATGTACACTGATTTTCATTTTATCTATACAGTCTCTAGTCAGTTCCTTGAACATGTCCACCCCCCCCCAGGACCTTGCATATACTGTTCTCAATCTGAAAACACTCTTCCTTTGGCTCTTTGCTTCACTTGCTTCTCAAATTCCAAAATTCAGTTTCTATGTCACTTTCTCTGAGATTCCTTTTCTAGCTCCTCTGCATAAGTTAGTCCCCCATTATCCTCCAAAGTTGCACCCAGTTTCTCTTACCCAGCACTTATCACAATCTATAATTATATATTTGGTTTTGCTTACTATCAGTCTCTATCTAAACTAAACGTAAATTCTAAAATTCCAACAACTATATCTGTCTTAATTATCAACATAGACTTGGCTTTATTACAGGAACTAAATAAAAACCTGGCAAATAAAGGAAGAAAACTTTGGGTCAGCAAACACATGACTAAGTATTTCTACTGAACAGCTATTTCTACCTGATAAGAGAAGGGAACTGACTAAGAAAAAAGAGTAAAGCAATTCTTAACTTGCCTCTCTCAGAGGGGTAAAGCAATTCTTACCTCTCTCAGTGGGTCACGCAAGTAGCAATCAATAATTTTGTCATACTGGTGCTCTCGTTCATACATAAATTCACAAATTTGATAGCTAGAATGTAAAAGGAAAACATCAGTGTGCCAAATGGGCATTCAGTTATTAGCTTACTGGTTTAACAAGTTTGCTCAGTCATAAAGGTAAATATTTAAGAAAAATGAATAATGTGATTTATAGAGTTAAATAATGTTGTACAGGTTAATTATCCCTAATCTTGATGCTCAAAGACTTTCTGGATATCAGAGCATTTCAGATTTTGCATTTTCAGATTAGGGATGCTCAACCAGTAAGGTATGTGGTCAATATTTCAAACTCTAAAAATCTCCAAAATCTGAACACTTCTGTTCCCGATCTTCTCAGATAGGACTGTCAGCTTGTATTAAGTATTTAAGGGAGCTCAGTATCTGCCATTCCCCTCACTGTTAGTTTAAGATGCTACTGAATACTATGTTTGGAAGAAATTTCCATGCTGGGTACAAAAAAAGTTAAAGAAGTGATGCGTCACATAAAGTCAATAGGTGGTCTGGGAATTTAGCTCAGTGGCACCACGCCTGTCTCAAAAGTGCAAGGCCCTGAGTTCGATCCCCGATACCAAAAAAAAAAAAAAGTCAATAGGTGAGGTATCAATTCATTATTTACATATGTAGTTTTTCTGCTCAGAATTAAGTATGTCAAGACATTAAACAAATAGCAGTGTTAACAGAATGGATCTTATTTGCATGTCCAATTCTGCATCATTTCTACTGCACATAACTCAAAAATCTGCAAAATACCATGGAAACATTGTTTTTAAAAATCTAAAATAATAAGACATCATAAGACTTTCATATTAAAACAAACATACAAAGATTTCAAATTTCCCCTAAATTTCTGAAAATTTTACTAATTTCTAGAATTCAACTGAAAGGCAAAAAACAGATAAGTTTTTTTTGTTTTTATAGAACTTTTCTTAACTAAAAAACATCAATGCCTCAATCTACTGAGCTTCAAGTTAAAGAAATATAATTTAATTATTCTATGCAAAATTAATACATGATTTCAAAACAACTTACAACTCGGCTTTTTCTGCCATACAAATGAGCCCGCTTTCTTCAAACTGAACTATGCCACCAGCCTGCAGCAATTCTAAAAGGACCTGAACATTAAAATAAATGAGTAAAAACACTTTGGAATTTATTTTTATTTACCAGCTCTATAAAGATCCATTCAGCCATGTGCACTATTACTTTTATTTTTTTATACTCTTACTTGATGACATTTTGGCTTGCATTCACATATGCAAGGGGTCATACTGCTGTTACGATACTGACTATACTGTATTTAAGTCATTAAAGAGAGGTGGCTCTGCTTTTCAGACACAGAAAGAATGGCACAGTATTTGCAAATAAAGCCCTGAATGTTGAATGGGCCCACCAAAACTAGGCTAAAAATGTCTGCATATATCTTTTCAACAAATGAGTTTTTGTTTGACTCTTTTATGTCTTATGGTTCTTTAAAATCCATTGTCCACATATTTATGTCCACATATTTATTGTCCACATATTTATGGACTAATTTTTAAAAATTAAACATTGTGTTTTCTCTTAGCAGCACTATTCAAAAACTCCAAAGGGCAGAAACAATCCAAATGTCTATCATCAAATGAATGGACCCACAAAATATGGTATACACATACAAGGGAGTATTATTCAGCCTTTAAAAAAGAAGACAATTCTTATACATACTACAACATGGATCAACCTTAAGGACAATATGCTAAGTAAAATAAGGCAAACACTATATAATTGCACTTACAGGAAGTACCTAGAGACAGAAAATACCAAGAGACAAAAGTAGAGTGATGGCTGACAAGGGCTGGCGCTAAGAGAATAGAGACTTAGAATTTAAAGCACATGGTGGTTCCGCTTGAAAAGATGAAAAAGTTCTGGAGAAGGACAGTGATGCTGACCGTACAACAATGTGAACAAACCTAACACTACTGAACTGTACACTTAAAATGGTACATTTTATGTTATGCATATCTTATAACAATAAAAACAAAAATATTGGGGTTCATATAATTAATTTTTATCACACTAAGTAGCTGCATTAAAAAAATGTGACCAGGATGTTGTGCTAGATTCAATTTTTAAATAACCCCAAAAAGATACAAAAGAAGCACTACACACTCAGAGCAGTGTAAAAAAGCTCTTGCCTGTATTTAAGTTCAAGATCTAGAGTAACAGAACTCTTCTCAGAAGCTTAAGAAAAATTTTAAGAGTACTTTTCTATATTATTATATTATATTATTTTCAAGTTAAATAAAACCTATCCAAATAGTATATTTGAAAACTTAAAGTTAGGGCTGGGAATGTAGCTCAGTGGTGCCACCTGCCTCCCAAGCACAAGGTCCTGAGTTCGATCCCCAGCACCAAAAAAACACAAAAAACCAAACAAACCCTATGTTTTGAGCCCTATAATGTACTTCATATAAAAAATATGAAGCAAACTCAATCTGCTTTGTCAGCTTGGAAAAAGTAATAGAAATGCCATTGCTGGATCCAAATTAACCAACCCATTAGAGCTGACTGTTAAATTTCCAGGAAGTTAGCAAGCCAGTTTTTTGTGGGGGATTTTTGCTGTTCTTTTTAATTTTTTATTTTAAATTTTTATTTTTATCTGTACATGTTTGCAGTACGTGATTACATTTATCATAGGGAGTTGGTACACATACATAACACATCTTAATTTTTTTATGTCCCTTTCTTTCACCACTACCTCCATCTTTCAGTTAAGAGGATAAATTTAAAATACTTTAAATGATCTCTATAGGTCAAGAAATTGTGAAATTCTATTTTCAACACTCAGTGCTACTGAACAGTTATTAAATACTATAATTTATTTCTGATACTTCTGTCAGTCCTCCTTTTTCCTTTGTCTTGGGTGGAGCAATAAGCTTTATCACTTTTCAGTTGCCAATCTCTTTGATTCTCTGAGCCAGTTATGTTCACTGCCATCAAGCCTTTTCTGTTCCTTCTAATGTCACTCCTAGGTCTGGTTCTGTGGACACCTGTAATCGCAGCACTTGAGTGGCTGAGGCAGTAGGATCACCGTGATTTCTGAGCCTAGCCTGGACTACGTAGTGAAACCCTGTCTCAATAAATTAAAAAATATAGAAAAGAAAAGAAAAAATGTATTTGGTTTGATTGTAGGTTTCAAAAGAGGAATAAAACAGAAAAGCAAATTTTTGCCACAAAATGATTTTTGAAAGTCAGACCCGTAGTATTATAAAGCCATCCAGAGATACTCTAGGGTCGACTTTTCTCTACTTATTATTTTCTTGGCTCTGTTTTCTGTTTCCTGTGATTCACACAGGTCATGGAGAGTATAATTCCCTCACAGAAACACGGCTCCAGAAGTCATCCTTTTCATTTATCTCAAGGCCGTCTTTCTAAATTCTGGAAAGGGTGACTGAGTTGGGGTCACCGACTGTAATACAAATGGACATTTGCTGCCAGCCAGTTTTTAAATACAGTGATTATTAAAAATTGAATTACGTTAACAATAAATTAAGTCTAAAAACAAAGGTAACTGATGATACTCAAAACTCACTACTTCCTAATTGTTTTATTACATTTTACCACTATATATCCTGTTGAATTTATTATTTTCAATGTAATATAACCGTGTGAATGGTGGAAATACATACAGGTGTATTGCTGTTCATCTTCTCAAATGACAACAGGTTGGCAGGTGAAGCCACCAAAAGTGGAGGGTTACTTACAATACAGAAATTGCCAGACACACACATCAGCAAAATGCTACAGAATGCTATAAAAAAGGAATGACAGAGACCTAAAATATTTATTTTTTCTCTTCTTTATAAAGTCTACCAATCCCTGGTTAAGAAAGTGATGGGGTAAAATAAAACAATTAAACTTAAGTGTGCCTACAGTTTGTAATAGCTAAAGCTTAGAAACAACAGCCCAAGTGCCCATCAACTGGAAACTGGATAAAGAGGATGTGGTTTTTTATAAAATGGAGTACGACTCAGCCATAAAGAACGAGAAACTAGAGACATTTATAGCTCAATGGATGCATATTGAGGCCATCCTCTTAAGTGAAATAAATAAGACACACATGTGTAAGTACCGAATATTTTCTCTAGTGTGAGAAACTGAAAGTGTAAATAAGGATTAAAATGAATAATTGATAATTTGAAATAGGAAGAAAAGGTCCAAAGGGGTGGGGGAAGTGGGAGGGGAAGGGGAAAGGAAAGAAGGGAAAGGAAAAATTATGAGAAAAGAAAAAAATGGAAACAAAGTCTATGTAAATAGGGAAGGGTGGAGGAGTGAAGGGCGCACAGGTAATGGGGAATAAGTAAGAACCAAGATACGTCATGTACAGGTCCAAGCACCCAAGGATAAATGTAAACGTACTGTATACCTAAAATGCACCAATAAAAGAATTTAAGAAAAAAAAAAACTGTGTGCCTATAGGCATTACACTGAAGAGCTCAAAAATTTGAGGAATTACTCTACCAGTGTTTGAAAATTACTATTTGATTCAGCAAAGAAATTATTTCACTGATTGATGAGTAAAGTTCTGATGTATTTTCTTTGTACTTTCATCTTTCTCATTTACACAGATGAAAATACCAACTAACATTCATCTCAGAACTATACTTGAGGAGTCAGCTGCTAAACATTTACCAGCATATCAGTGGAAAATACTAAAAAATACTTCACAAATTTTGATATATAACAACTGGTACAAGGGAAAGAATGTTGGGTTAGCAGTGAAGAGATAAGTTCCAATCATATTTGTGACCTTGAATAACTTACTTCCATAAGTTTTCTATTTCTAAAATGTGGCAGAGGAAAAAAAAACCTAGATAATCTTAAAGGGAATGCACAGAAATATAACAATATACTAAGACTGAGCCAATTAGGGTGGGACATGGTTGTAATTCCAGACTTCAGGAGGATCACAGCGAATTTAGAGGCCAGCTCCTTAGGGTTCGGCACAAGTCCTTTTCTCCTTACATTTAGTGAGGTCTAGCTCACAAAGAAAAGTTCTTTCTGACTTACTCTGACCTCTTTTTCAATCTTTAGCAAAAAAGAGTTTTAGTTACTCATACCTGCTGTCTTTCAGAGTGTCGAGAGTCATCATCAGGGCTACACAGAAATTCAAGCACCTGGCCAAAGAAAAAGTAACCTTTAGGGTATATCAGCTCACATGCAGTAACTATCTTTTTAATACCACCAGTTCATTCACACTCAGCTGTAACAAATACCCCAGGTGTATGTTACCTTCTCAACTGACTGGCCTAGTACCTGAAACATTAGGGTCAAGCACACTAACAACTTAATACTTGCCTTATGCATATATTTCTTTATAGTTTAGAAACATAACTAGAGGGCAGTGCCATCTGTCTTTCTTGACTTTAAGTTCCTTGATACCATGGACAGAGCAAAGCACAGACTTTGTGGTCAGGCCACTTGCATCCGAATCCTAACCATATTAACATATAGTAGTAACATTACTGCTAACAATAACACTTAGTACTTGTTATACTGGATGAGGTTTGTTTGTTTTTTTGGTACCGGGGATCAAACTCACAATCTTGCGCTTAACGAGGCAGGTGCACTGCCACTGTTGGATGACATATTTAATCTCCTCAGGATTCATTTTGAAAATAAGGATAACTGTACCAATTTCAGAGCTGTTAGAAGTTGTATGGATGAGCTTTGGAGCAGCCCCTGGCACTGTGAAGCACTCAGCAAATGCTAGTCATTACCTACTTTCTCTGAACAGCATGAATTTTCTTTGCCACCTATCAATACATAGGGGACATTTAAGGGGGATTAGGAGACAGCTGCAGAGTCAAGCTCATTTGTAATTCATATTTTCTAAAAGTAATCTTTTCTCCAGATGATCATCATATAATCTTACTATCAGTGAAAAGTGGTGATTCTTAAATTAGAACATTCCTGAGCAAAGAATTCTAGGCAATTTAGAGCAACAGAATAACAGAGACAACAGAATGTCCATAAGCTACTCTCTACTACCATTCCATGATACCGGTTGGTTAGCAAAGTCAGGCTACCCAGAACACATCATTAAAATACGCATGCGTACACACACACACACACACACACACACACACACACACACCCCTTAATTTGGATCCAAAGCTTAAACAGGCTTCTCCTAGATATGACATTTACCCAATAGTCTGCCATATTAAGAAACAGGATACTGTAATCCAGTGAACATTTTTTTAGCAGCAGTGACCAGACGAAAAACAACTCTGATTCTCACTGCTGAAGACACTTACCTGATCAAAGAGTGTTCTGTTCACAAACAAAGTATTGTCAGGCTTTGCAAGCTGCCGAGCAAGGAAAGTAAAGAGGCACCCTACTTGTGAGGGAGTAAAATCTGAATTCTCCACCATGACCTGGTGAGCAAGAGAGACCACTTATTCATTATGCCATCGGGTTTGTTTAAAAATACACAATTAGGAGGTGGGGGGGCTCATTATTGAAAACTCATGAAAAGATTCCTTTGTTGATTTACAAACATGGTGTTTAATACCATTTAGAGGAGTGTGACTACCTGCATACTCTGAAAGGAAAACAATTAGGTGATTTCTAGCATAATTCTAACACAATGTGGATGAGAGGGCATGTAAGATTTCAAAGAAATATTAATCATGCTTCTCTTTGGGATTCTTAGAGAATCCCTCTAAAATTAATTGTAAATAACCCTACCAAAATCTGTCCATCAGCAAGGGAAGAAGAGAACCACTTTGAAGTTTAAAAGAAAACCCCTGAGTGGAGGCACCCAGCAAGGAAGTCAGCCACAGCACACTTAACAAAGTGAATGGTTTCTGCTTGTTGGCTGGCAGTCCCGGAGCCTGTAGCTTTGTGTAGCTTTTTACAACTTAAAACCACGCCTGGGTATCCAATCACAGTTCTTCCTCTGGTTTAACTCAGCTCCCACCTTCTGCATCCCTCTCTGTGTCAGGCACTATGGTACAGGCACTTTTCTTTTTTTTTTTTTTGGTAACAGAGATCGAACTTGGGTCCTTGCACTTGCGCAGCAGGCAGCCAAACCACTGAGCTAAATCCCCAGCTGGTACAGGCACTTTTAAAGAGGATTATGAACTAGATGGTGAGACAAGTACAGGCATCTGAAATAATAGGCACGATATGCTTGTACACGTCGAAAGTCACAAATAATTATGTAAGCATAGTGTGGAAAAAACGTTCACCTAACTGGTTTGGAAAAGAATTTGAAAAGAAAGAAGAATCTCTGATGGGAGATGTCATCAAAGAAGAGTATGAGAAAAAGGACAGACACAGGGAGACAAGTTTACTGGGAGAATTCCAGGCTCCATCCACTACAATGTGGCAGCATGCACGAGGAGGAAGGGAAGATTAGGAAGACTGAAAGAGAAGATTAGGCCTCAAATGTCATCTGAAGGAATCTGAATTTATTCTGTAGAAAACTAAGAAGCTACTGAAAGTAGCTTCAACCAGCAGAGCTGATCATGATCAGTACTGTGTGTAGGAAAATTCCCATGTTGGCAGCATACAGGATAAACAGCAGAAGGAAGAGAAGGCAGCGAGACCAACAAGTGCCTGGAGGGTTCCAGGGAGAGATGAAGGGGTTCTGAACCAGGGCTGGGGTGCTGAAGATGGAAAAAGAACAGGTACAAAGGACTTCAGAGAGAGGAGACAAGTATTCCTATGAATGGCAATATGTTGTGAAAGGAGCATTAGAAAACGACATTTTGAGCATGATTGGCAAGAGGCATAATGATTCCAGTAATGGACAGAATGCAGAAGTTTGGGAGGGAAGATCTTTATTGTTTGGGGCTAACTGGACTCATGGAGGAAACTCTCCTGGCAGTTAGGGGGAGCATTCTGGCACATCACTGAAATGTCCCGGGGGCTCTCTTGTGGGCTGCTAGGGGGGTGAGCTGGGGAGCACCATGGACCCCAGTGTCCGGCAAGCACTGAGGAAGAAGCTGCCAGAGCAGACACCTGAGGCCGAACACTTAAAGAACCAAGTATGTATTTCAAAGCTACGAATGATATTCTCATTCAGACTTTAATATTGAAAAGTTAATTCCTCTGTGATTAAAAACAGCATGGTACTGGCAAAGAAACAGACTTGAGAATCAGTAGAATAGATGTAGAAACAACTCCAGACACACTCAGCCACCTCATCTTTGACAAAGGAGCCAACCACTCTCACTGGAGGAAAGATAGCCTATTTAATAAATGGTGCTGGAAAAACTGGACTTCAACCTGCCAAAGATTAAAACTAGACCCATACCAATAGGTAATGTGAAATAGGAAGAAAAGGGGCAAAGGGAAAGGAAGTGGGAGGGGTAGGGGAAAGGAAAGAAGGGAATGGGATTAATAGGAGAAAATGGAAAAATAGGAACAAAATCTTTGTAAATAGGGAGGAATGGAGGGGTTGAAGGGAGGGCTGGGCATGGGTGAAAAATAAGAACCAAGAGAGACTATGTAAAGGTGCAAATTTCCAATGATGAATGTCACTGTATTGTATACCTAAAATGTACCAATGATTAGAATTAATAATCGATAATGCAAAATAGGAAGGAAATGTCCAAAGGGGTAGGGATAGTGGGAGGGGCAGGGGAAAGGAAAGAAGGGAAAGGAAAAATGATGAGAAATGGAAAAAATGGAAATAAAGTCTTTGTAAATAGGGAAGGGTGGAGGAGGTGAAGGGAGGGCTAGGAATAGGGAAAAAATAAGAACCAAGATGCATTACGTAAAGGTACAATTCCCAATGAGAAATGTAATTGTGTTGTATACCTACAATGTACCAATAAAAGAATTTAACAAACAAACAAACAAACAAAAAACTAGACCCGTACCTATCACCATGCACTAAACTAAGATCGAAGTGGATTAAAGATCTAAATATTAAGACAGAAACACTAAACTTCCTGGAAGGTAAGTTAGGTATAACTCTGGAAGACATTGGCATAGGAAAAAACTTTATGAGCAAAACCTCAGTAGCACGGGAACTAGTACAAAGAATCAACAACTGGGATCTCATCTTGTTAAAAAGCTTCTGCACTGCAAGAGAAACCACCAACAGAGCTAAGAGACAACCTACAGTGTGAGAAAAAATTTTCAGCAGCTGTACCTCAGATAATGGACTACTATCTAGAATATATAAAGAAAAAAATATGTAACTGAAAAAAATCAGACTCCCCAAATTCAAAGACCCAATTCAAAAATGGGCATCTGAAATGAATAGACATTTCTCAAAGAAGTAACAGCAGCAAATAAACATATGAAAAAATGGTCATCTCTGATCATTCAAGAGATGATGAAAACAACACTGAGATTCCACCCCACCCCAGAAAGAATGGCTGCTATCAAGAAATCAACAAATAACAAATGTTGGCGGGGCTGTGGGGAGAAAGCAACCCTTCTCCATTGTTGGCGGGAGTGCAGACTGGTGCAACCACTGTGGAAATCAGTATGGAGATACCTCAAAGAACTAGGGCTGGAGGTCCCATTTGACCCAGCTATTCCCCTGCTGGGGATCTTCCCAAAAGAATTAAAAGAATCGTACCACAGCGATATATGTGCACCCATGTTTATAGCTGCACAATTCACAATAGCGAAAGCTTGGAAACAGCCCAAATGCCCATGAACTGGAAACTGGATAAAGAAGATGTGAGGTTTTTAAAAAATAAAATGGAGTATTACTCAGCCATAAAGAATGAGAAACTAGAGATAGTTATAACTAAATGGATGGATACTGAGGCCATACTCTTAAGTGAAATAAATAGGACACATGTAAATACTGAATAGTTTCTCTGATGTGAGAAACTGAAAGTGTAAATAAGGATTAAAATGATTAAAATGAATAATTGATAATTTGAAATAGGAAGAAAAGCCTCAAAGGGGTAGGGGAAGTGGGATGGGAAGGGGAAAGAAAAGAAGGGAAAGGAAAAATTATGAGAAAAGAAAAAATGGAAACAAAGTCTTTGTAAATAGGGAAGAGTGGAGGGGGTGAAGGGAGGGCAGGGAATGGGGAAAAAATAAGAACCAAGATTCATCATGTACGGGTACAAGCACCCAATGATAAATGTAAATGTATCGTTTACCTAAAATGTACCAATGAAAGAATTAGAGGAAAAAAATAAATAAAATGTCCCGAGTTCCCTCTTTCCATGCTCTGCTCAGAGGTGGGCCTGAGTGGCGGAGGTGGGGGAGTTAGATCATGGACTTTGCCCTCAGAAGACACTAATGCTGGTTTTGAGGAGTTAGCTCCCTTGAGGTGGTAAGGATGAGCCGACCCTGAATCTCTCTGGCTTCCTGGCTTGCCCTGTCATCTCTCCCTGCCCCGTGCACTCCCACAGTGATGCCACTGTACCGTGCTGCAGCCGACAGGGCCCTCACCAGGGGCCAAACACACAGGTGGCCCAATCTTCAGCTTTCAGCCTCTAAAACTATGAGCTAAATTGACCTCTCGTTAAAGTGTTCAGCCTTAGTTTCTTATGGTAACAGAAAATTAACTAATGTGTGCTCCAGCATCTATTCTTCCTTCTTAACTTAGAAACCTAAATTTTAGCTAGTGTATGGTTATCCAGAATACAGATTACATTCCTCAACTTCTTTCCGCAGCTAAGGGCCATCTGTCAAAGTTCTGTACAATATGATTAAGCAGAACTATAGTAGGTAACTTCTAAGAAGTTTCCTCAAAGAGACAAAAACGTTTCCTTCTGCATCTCTTTCTGCATTCAGATTCACTAGAATGCAAAGTTGAGGGCTGGCGCCTGAGCAGCCATTTTGGACCAGAAGACAAAAATCATATACTAAGTAAGACAGAAGGAAATCCATTTCTGCTAAGTTTATAAAGCCACTCCTGCCTACCTCCATGCTCATATGAGAAAAAATTAATTCCCACCACAACTTATTGTCATGTTGAGTTTTCTCTCACAGCAGAACTTAATTCCAACTTATCTACTAGGAGGCCATAGGTCAATATTAGATAGAGAAGACACGACTTGTGGTAGGGAGGACATTTAAGAAGGTACATGGGTAATGTAAGTGAGAATTCTCCATACTAACCACTCAGGTCAAACAGGCATTATCTGAGTATTCAGCAATCACTGCCTATGTTACAAGGCCAATAAACAGCTCAAATAAGATAATGTACATACTAGCATGTGCTTGGGAAATTATAAAGAACTATTATAAATGTAATATAATGATGCTATGCGCAAACTAGAGATCACTTCAATTTTGGTCTCTTGTCCAAAATAATCTAGAAGTCATGAAAAGGAAGAAACATCTATTTTACAGCCAGATGAACAGAATAAGCTTTCAATTAAAGAGGAGAAAGTAGCCTGCTAAAAGTCATGCAAACAGAAAGGACAAGAACCTGTCTCTGCACTCATTCATTAGCAACAGCATAAACCTCAAAAGAGTGCCACTGAATCTAGTTAGATTCAGATAAGGATGATATCTCTGTATACCTCAAATTATTCTTAGTGTCACCATGGCACTGCCATAGCAATGGTGTGATGATGGATAGAGACAGATTATGATTTTCCACATTTGTTACTTTCTCAAAGCACTCTAAAGTTAGCCTATTATTACCCATAATTGAACTCATGTGCATTTCTCAAGTAGTACCCAGATCCCCAGCATCCAATCTAAAGCTGAGATATATTAAATTTTTTCATCAATGAATGATTAGCATTTCATTCAGCTCTTAAGGCCCAAGACACTATAATAAAACTTTAAGATATGATTGCAACAGTCTATGCCCATACCACCCTGAATGTATCCAATCTCATCAGATATGACTGCAACAAATTACTTTGATAAACAATATTATTTTAGAACTGGCAATGAAACAATTTATCATAATATAATATTAGTATAAAGACATAATCTTTGCTTACCTTCAACAAAATATCCACAATTCGCTGTTGATATTCCACAGCTTGCTTATCATTTTTAAAATCTTCAAAGGTCTAAAAAGGAGAAAGAAATTTTAAAAAGTAATTATTATTTGCAAATTTTAGTAGGAACCAAGTTATTAAATTCTTGTGGACAAAATCTAACTAAATTCCCAAATAAGAATACCATTCTCATCAAGTTTTTCTTTATATATATTAATATATATTTAATATATTTTAATATATTTTTTCTTTACATATTTTGAATGATAATTTTTCTTTTAGGGAGCCAGGTAGAAAGCTACAGCATTTAATATTTCATGGTATTCTAAGGTCTTAACTAAAAACCAATGTGAAGGGTGGGGAATTTGGCTCAGTGGTGCCGCGCCTGCCTCGCAAGTGCAAGGTCCTGAGTTCAATCCCTGGTACTGAAAAAAAAAACAACAACAATGTAAAGTATATAAACACAGTGGTTATCACACAACCAAAAAGCACTTGAGAAAGGAAGTACAGTATTAAGGCAAATTCTACAAGCAAATAAAAGAGAAAGAATGCTAATAGTAAAAGGCAATTTGGGAGCAAAGGTCTGAGAATAGAAGGATAAAAAAAATGCCACATCCTCAGTCATCATTCACTCTGCTACTTGGCAATAAATGAAATGAGTTCATTAACTGTCATGAAAAACAATTTACGTAATTCCCATGACAATTTAGAAAAACTAATGTTCAGTGATAGGCATTTTAAAAATTAAGACAAAACTGTGCAAATGTTAAAATTCTTAAGCCTGTTCACAAGGATTAGGTATCTTACTCTCAAAACACTGCCAAGTACAGCAGTCTTTTTATCTCATGTTCCTGTTCAAGTAGATCCAAAAATGTTTTGTATATAATCCGCATCAAGGTAAATGGCAGCACTGGATTCTGTCTGGCAATATATGATAACAGCATGTCATACAAATGCCTAGTGCCCACAGGATTCATATATGAAGGAAATGAAATGGAAGCTGTTATCAACAAGTTGAAATAAACATGTTTGCAGAGTAGAAAGAATGATGAAAGACTTGAAAATCTTTCCGATGGCTTTCACTTAGCACCTTTCATTCTGAGAAATGTTTAATCCACAAAGGAGTAATTTACTGCTTTTTTCTTGATCAAGAAAAAAGAAAATATATTCTTTATATATATTTATATATTTTTATATATTTATATATACAAAGAATATAGAGAGAGATTTTTTTAAAAAAGAAATTTCATTGCCAGGGACTTTCAAGGCTACATCATAGTTCTGTTCAAACCAGAATACTTGTTCTTGACGTGAGCCACAAATTTCCCCAACTTCTCCAAAATATCTTTGCTCTTTTTTTTTTTTTTCGGTACCGGGGATCAAACTTGGGACCTTGTGCTTGCAAGGCAAGCAGCAGCACTACTGAGGCTAAATCCCTGGCCCACCTTTGCTCTTAGTAGCATTACTTCCCTTCTTTTTCCTGTCTGGCATCCAAAAGGTTCTTAACAAAAGACTGCTAAATTGTTTAGTGAGTTATTTACAACGAAAAATAAAATACTTTAAACTTTTTTTTCCCCAACTAGTCTGATATGCTGCCAGCTAGTTGAGAAAAGCTGAAATGAGTTGCCAAGGAGATTGTAGGAATTGGAAGGCTCAACCAGAAGATATTTTTATGTTTCTGTGGGTTAAATATGACCCTACTTGAAGACAGGAAGATAGACAAGAAAATTTCTCAGTTCCATCTTCTGATTTATGAGAACACACTCCTCCCCACCCCCATGCCAGGTGAGATGTCACTCTGCAGAATATTGTGGGGACTTATCTGCAATACAAGTGGTATTCAACTAGAACCCAAATCCATGGAGAATTAACCAATGTATTAAAAATGACAGCAATGACAACAAGTCAGAAAGAATTTTCTTAGCCATTTTCCTTTTGGCAGCATGTAGACACTGCTTTGAAACAGAGACTCAAAGTTTGTTTCTATAAATATAATTAAGTGGTGACATACTAGTGTGAATGTTATGATACATATAATGACATATTTTAGTGGTAGTTAACAACTGTCACCAAATGGCACATCATTCCTAGAACATTATCATTTCACAAAGATGCTTCTAAATATTCAATGTTTGTTACAAGAATAATAAGTGATGATATCCTAATGGAGAATTATAGTTTGTGAAGTATAAAAGTGAACCCCAAACTGAAGTTCAAAGTCATCTGAGTATAAAATCTTCCTTCTGTAGTTCCTTCAAAATTACAGGGTTTCTGGATGGGTAATGATCTTAAATTAAATCCTAATCTAGGGGGCAGCAAACATTGCTTGTAAAGGGTCAGGAAGTAAACATTTCAGGCCCTGAAGGCTACATGTTGTCTCTATCATATAGTCTTTTTCTTCATTTACACAATTTTTTTTTTTTTTTTTGGTACTAGGGATCAAATTTGGGACCTTGCGCTTGGAAAGCAGGTGGCGGAACCACTGAGCTAAATCCCTGGCCCCCATTTTCACAACTCTTAAATATATCAAAAACATTCTTAGTTCACACAGGCTATGGGTTAAATTTTAGGAGTTGGGTTAGTCCCTGTCCTAATCTCTTCACACACACCCTAAAAGACCCCTCTGTAATAAAAAAGCAAAACAAGTAACCCACAATCCAGGATAATGGAAAAACTAGAAGAATAACAAATACTACAAACTTCAACCTATACGTAAGGGGAAAAATAAAAATATTCCACATTAGCAGGATCGGTTCCAAAGCATACAACACTAAAGAGATTGTTTAGAAGAAAGTAGATTATGACAAGGTTCTAGTGGTAGTAGAACACCTGTAACACCCAATAGAGTTCACTCCACAAGGAAGAAGCATCCATCTGGGTAAGGAAATACTGAGATCAGGCCTGAGACCTGGTAGATCAGAGCCCTGGCTATCAGGAATATCAAAGGAAGGGGTCTGGAAAGTATGGATCAGAGGTAAAAGTGAAACAGGCCTTTTGTAATAAAAGGAGAAACCTTAGAGCAGGCAAACATTCCTTAGAATCTTAGTGGGGAAGGCTTAGTGAATGGTAAAGACAGAAGTAAGTCAAAACAAGATAAAGTAAAGGGGGGGAGATGAAATACTCCCCTCACTTGCACTGAATTTCTTGTGTGGACATATTTTTATTTCATATACACCTAAATATGGAGTTGCTGGATCATATTTAAGCAAATCCTTTAACACCTTGGTATTCCCACTGTTACTATCCTATTTCAAGCCACCATTATCTATTTAAATTACTACAAACATTTGCTAGCAGATCTCATTGCCTCCAGTCTTACCACATTTCAATACATTTTCCATATGCTATGATCTAAATGTTTTTGCCTCCTGCCCTGAAATTCATGTTGAAAACCTAATAACCAGTGTGATAGCATTAGGAGGTGGAGCTTTTGGGAAGTGACTGGATCACAAGGGCAATCATGAGTCGAATTGGAGACCTTATAAAAGAGGCCCCAGAAAGATCCCCTGCCATGTTGCTTCCACCTTGTGAGGGAACAGTGAGAAGGCACAATCCATGAACCAGGGGGTGGGCCCCCAACAGACAATCTGCCCACGGGTGATCTTGGACTTGTTCGCTTTCAGAGAATAAATTTCTGTTTATAAGTCACCCAGTCTACAGTTATACAGTTGGTTATAGCTGTCCACTGTGAAAGTCACAAGGAATCTTTTAAAAGTACAAATCATGACATTCTTCTCCCTAAAAGACTTCAATGGCTACCTACTGCCATAGTATAGAGTTCAAATTTCTTACTACAAATTCAGGACTCTTTCTTGTATGCCTGGCACTCTGGATTTGTGTCCTTCTGAGCTTTTCCACACATTTAAATATGTAGGCCTACTAATTTTTAAAAACTGTTTGATACCTATTGCTTTGTCTCATTTCCAGTCCTTTTTATATGTTCTGACCTTTTTCCTAGAATATCTTTCCCTATTCTTCACCTAGCTTCTATCATCTTTGAGCCTCAGCATGGACATCCATTTCATGCAGAACCTTCCCTAGCCCTTCTCAGGTGCCCCCTCCTAAGTATTCCAACAGCACACTGCACTCCTGCTAAGGCATGTGTTACACTGTGCTATATTACTATCTGGATCCACTTCCTCCTCAAGGGCAGGGGTTACAGCCTGTCAGCCACGTTTGCATCCCTTACTTAGTACAGCATTCCCCGACATAGGCGATATACTAAGCACTCAAATATTTGCCAACCAAATGAAAGAGCGATTGTTTTGCAACCTTATTATAAATCCCAATATCATAATTCAAATAGCCTAATTCTTCACATGTTTCAAAGCTACCACAGCCCTTTAAAAAATTAGGTAAAATTGTGTTTTCTGTACCACTCTTTGAAAATCTCCTGCCCTAATATTGCCTGTTTCTTTTTTCCTAAGTGCCATTCAGTACTCTTGTACTCACCTGTGGATTTCTAAGATCTCCCAAACCTGACTTCTAGTTCTGAGTTTCTCTTCCCTGTTCCCTGTGCAATTAAAGTTATTGCTTTGGAATAAAGATTTTCAAATGAAATAAATTCAATAATAACATTCTGATGAGGACTCACCTTTTGAAAAATAATTAATTATAGTATTCTACTTATAAAAGTAGTCATAGTGAAATCTGCCCCATCCTACCGAGTTAACCATTACTAACAATTATGCATAATTCCTTGTCTTTTTTTCCCTTCAAATATTGAGTGCAAATGTGTGTTTTACATAGTTTTGTGCCTTATGCTTTCACTACATACTATAAGCACTTCCTATCATAGTAAAAGCTTTAAAAAACAATAACTACAATATTATTTAATTGGGAGGATTCATCATGTTTTATACATTATTCCCCTAGGGACATTTTCACAGAAAACCTGGCTCATCCAAATTCATCTCTAATTAAACATGTATGAAGTGTTTTTTCAGCAGGAAGCTTCTTTTTTCAATTTCAACTCGTTATTCCCACCATCATCACCACACTGCTCTCAGATTCTTCATTCATATGGTTTGCCAGATAACAGAACCAGGTAATCCTGCTGTCTTTAACTTTTTATGAATGCACTTTAGAGACAAGACAGACAGACAGATAGAAAAGGGAAGAAGGGATATAAAGAACTAGAGAGAAAATACAAGTGCTACAACAAAATCAAATATTTGAAAACTTTACTTACTGCTAAGGCATAAAAACTGTATCCACATGAAGATTATTTTTCTTTCTAGGAAAAGCAAATTTACCACTCTGGATTCTGTGAAAACATCTTAAAATCAAACAATGTCTCTTACCAAGGCCAACACATTTAGGAATTCTCTTGTGTCAAAATGTAGCAAAGTCCGAACATAAGGATAGATTTCTTCCTCCGGGGATGCTTCTGCTGAATGCAGGCGAATCAGAAATTCAAAAACCTACAAGTTAAAACCAATCATTAACTATTTTCTCATCTTACCTATCATCTCACTGAAGCAATTATTTTCTCTGGATAAAATAAAAGCAGGCTGAATTCAGTTTAAATTGACACTGTGGGGTTTTTTTCATTAAGTTTATTTGTACATTTTAGGTATATAATACAGTTACATTCACCATTGGGATCTTGTACTTTTACATGATGTATGTTGGTTCTTATTTTTTCCCCATTCCCCTGCCCTCCCTTCACTCCCTCTACCCTTCCTTATTTATAAAGACTTTGTTTCCATTTGTTTCTTTTCTCATATTTTTTCTTTTCCCTTCTTTCCTTTGCTCTGCCCCTCCCACTTCCCCTACTCCTTTAGACCTTTTCTTCCTATTTCACATTATCAATTATACATTTTGATCCTTATTTACACTTTTAGTTTTTCACACCAGAGAAACTATTCGGTATTTACACGTGTGTCCTATTTATTTCACTTAAGAGTATGGCCTCAATATGCATCCATTTAGCTATAAATGTCTCCAGTTTCTCGTTGTTTATGGCTGAGTAGTACTCCATTTCATAAAAAAAACCCCCCAAAAAACACATCTTTAACCAATCTCCAGTTGATGGGCACTTGGGCTGTTTCCAAGCTTTAACTATTACGAACTGTGCTGCTATGAACATGGGTGCACATATATTGCTGTGGTATGATTCTTTTAATTCTTTTGGGAAGATACCCAGCAGGGGACTACCTGGGTCAAATGGGACCTCTAAGCCTAGCTGATTGAGGTATCTCTATATTGATTTCCACAGTGGTTGCACCAGTCTGCACTCCCACCAAAGATACTGTGTTTTAAATTCTCTCCAAAATCCCCTCAGCTAAAACTGTTGACATTAGGGATAGTACACAGGTGCTCTCCTTCCTACACAGGCCATCGTTCCTGAGCCAAGAGCACTCTTCATCTGCAATCTGTCTTCAGCACATCTTAACAAGAGGTGTATATAGTAAAAAGTATGGAAACAGCACCAACCTGGTTTTTAACCAAGGGAACAAGATCTTCAGAGATGTCACCAAGGGGATAGGCACGGCCTGCCAGACAACAGCTAGAAGAAAAGAATAAGAAGCTACATAAAGATCCACAGACTTGTGAAGGGCTAACTTTCAAGTGAGTAACACACTGTTTCTCAAACCTGAGGTCCAAGTACAATTTTGAAACAGGCTCAGCTTTTCTTAGTTAGATCAAGTTTAAAACCAGATCACTGCTACTATAAAAAACCATATTGTTGGGCCGGGGATTTAGCTCAGTGGTTCTGCTGCCTGTCCTGCAAGTGCAAGGACCTGAGTTCAATCCTCAGTACCAAAAAAAAAACAACAACAAAAAACCATATTGCAAACACATTGTATATTTCAAAAAGCTAGCTGGGTGTGGTGGCACATGCCTGTAATCCCAGAACTTGGGAGGCTGAGGCAGGAGGATTTGCTGTGAGTTGAGGCCAGCCTGGAAGGCCAGCCAAACCTACATAGCAGGACCTTGCCTCAAAAACAAAGAAAAGAAAAATCTAGAAGTAAGGCTTTTGAATGTTTTCCCCATAAAGAAAAGATAAATATTTTAGGAGATAGCTAGGCTTACCCTGATTTAAACATTATACAAGATACACATTCATCAAAACCATCACATGGTAACCCATATGTAAGCTTTTATATATTGATTTAAAAACTTTTTAAAAAGATGATGTTCAGTTCAGGAAATGGGAGATGGTAATGGTGGTTAAGTAACCCATCCTATGACTGAGTTAAGGGCTTTCACGTCTGCCTATCTGCACTACAGGGACGGCAAGAATATAAGGCTCTATCAAAAGGCCTTCTACTTGGCATCTAATGAACTTGATGGCACTGTCCAACCATGATTTACCTGTCAGAAGCCTGATGTTCTCAGGGAATTTTATTTTATTTTTATTTTTGGGTACCAGGGATTGAACTTGGGACCTTGCGCTTCTGAGGCAGGCGGTGGCACCACTGAGCCAAATCTCTGGCCCAAGTGACTTTTAAAACTAGTGGCTTCAAGGATGGGTTAAAGATGAGGAATGAGCTTGTCTAACAAATGTCTGGAAAATATCTGCACTAGGACGATCCTTCAAGGACAGTTACAATCTGAGAAGAAATCTAGCCTAGAGTTTTACCTCAGAGTCAGACTTTATGGTTTCTTTACTTGCCTTGTGGGCTAAATTATTACAAATGTCTTCTGAATATGTCTTCCTTTTTCCTATTTTTTTAATTTGAGGGAAGGGGGTGGATTTTAGCATCTTTGAACCAATAGTGATTTTTAATCTTAGATTAGAGACACTGGATACTAGTGCATTCTAAAGAGTTTAAAGTTCGGATGATAAAGCACTAGGTAACACTGTTATGTACTTCCTCACTAAAGAATCAATGTGACAAGTATAAAACAGGTGTTGCATTTAACTCTGATGCTGGAGAGGAGCTAAAATGAGGCTGAGCTAAAATGATGCTCTAGCAGGTTCTGCTGCTCTCCTACCTTTGCTGCTTCATTGTGAAAAGTTCTACCAGCATCCATTCTGAGCCTACACAGTCTATAACATTCCAGTTTCACCTCTGTCACTAATTTCTTCATGATTTCAACAAACCTCTTGCCCTTACGTGTAAAACAGAGGTGACACATATCCCACAGAGTTTCTGGTAGCAAAGGTAAAATGTTCTTTATCAGGGTTTCTCAATCACAGCCTTACTGATAGTTTAGGCCACTTCATTCTTCATTGTAGGGTTTATCCTGTGCATTGTGGGATGTTTAGTAGTATCCTTCACCTCTGTTCCTTAGATCAAAGTAGCATCCCCTTCCTAGCCCTCGTTGGGATAACAAAAAAATGTCTTTAGACATTGTCAAACCCAAGAGCTACTACTGTTCTATATCTATATCTATATCAAGAGAGACAACAGTACTTCTTAAAATACAGGGAAAAAAATACAAAAGGAACATAGGCACAGATAAATAAAAATCTCTTACCTAATATATACGAGAAGCTTGTTGCCCATAACAACTTGCTCATCTAAAATAGAAGGAAAAATAACATCAGTAGCTCTCTCTCAAAACCTTTTCAGAAATATAATCTTTATATATAGAAATAAAAAATGAAGTGTGACATTAAAGGTGAGGGAAATATACTTCCAAGTAACAGAAAATTGACAAGCCCAGATTAACTTTGTTTCTTGATTTCCATTAGGTTTTATCCAGAGATATAACATCCATACGAGTTATTCAAGGTCACATGTAGGTCTGAGGCAGAAATCTATGTATTGTTAGTTTAACCTCTACCTTGGGGCCAGGGGCAGGTGTACAGCAGACAGTGAGTTGATGAATTATAGATCATGGCTGGTTAACTAATATGAAGGTATACTTACGTCTTCTCTATTATTTATTTGTTTGATCATGAGAGATAGATCTGGCTAACATTCAGGCTGGCCTTGAACGCACAATCCTCCTGCCTCAGTTTCCTGAGTAGTGGGGATTACAGGTCTGTGCCTAGCTATTTCTTCTCATTTCTAACATGGACTTTCACTACCCACCGTGCTCTAGGGTTGAGAAGGACACTGTTCCCAAATGTTTAAAGTAATAACCTCTGATAAATGATCATTTGGGCTTTTTCTAGTCTAACATGTCAAACATGTAAGAGTCCAGTGTATGATGATATAAGCCTATTTCTTTTAGCAAAGTATATCAGAAAGATAATTAGGTCAATTTTTAGGTGAAGGGGTCAAAGGCAAAAGGGAGTAGAGTAGGAACACCAGGAAGGGTGAAGTGATCGGGACTGTGTACAGTGTACAGACTGCAGACTTGTGTTGGTAAGAATGATGGGCTGGAGTCTGAAAGAAGAATGAAAAGTCTGTTACATGAATACTGGCTATAATGCAAACAAATACAGAGTACATCTTTTATCTTTTCACTAATCCTTCACAAATACGTTACTCTTAAGAGCAGGGAGTCTGTGTTATCTCTTCATTTCCAGCACCCAGTATAGTATCTGGCACATAAGTAATTGACTATAGCACATGCATGGTGAACTCAAATGATAAATGCTTCAATTTCTATAATGCTTTGCTTTCTAGTACTATATCTTCTTTTAGACAATTTTCTCTTGTAGAAGTTCAACAACTCCATTCAGATTTTCAATACTACACTCCACATTCACTTCTGGTAAATACATATGTAAAAACCAATTTTCAAGTCTGTTTAAGAAAGATTGGACTGAGGGGTGCTATTGGGTATGAGAGATTAAGACCATACAAAACAACTCTCCCTGCCTTTACTCTTTCAGAAAAAAAGGAACAAAACCTGGCCATCACACAAAAAGTACCTGAAGTTACTGAAGAGTGAAAAGAAGCATAAAATCTAGTGAGGAATTCAGAATTACTTGGGGAGAGAGAGGTAGCCATACTTTCCCCCCTTCTGTGGCTTTTCCCCGTGGGTAAAAATACTCTGGATTGCACACGCTAGATGGCAAGCAGTCTTTCTGGCCTCAGGGAAAGAATGAAGGAACCCCAAAAGGGAAGGAGTCAAAGAGGGGAATCCTCAAATGGTCTGCCTATACCTCTGACTGACCCCTAAACTACCATGCAGGAAAGACTCCAAGCAGCTCAGCCAAAGACAAAAGATCAAAGCTCTCACTGAGCAGTGGGGACAACAGGGAGTCTTCCACATAAACTACCATCACTGTGGCTCTGAGGCTGAGATGTAGAACAGCTTGTGTGACAAGCATGGTGGGGCTGGGGACTCACATGAAAAAAGCAGTAAGTTTCTGGCCAGAGGAACTAGAAAACAGAAGTTGGGAAACATGAACAGTTACAAGATAGAGGAACTCTTTCGAAGAAAGGAGCCAGAGGAAAGACTCACATACCACTGGCCCAATTGCTGATCAACCCCTGGACCACACATGTGGATCAGAATCAAAGTATACCAGCTAAAGGCAAATGAGCCAAGAGGAGACTGGAGTTGTCACATGGGAAATAACGTGCAATTTAAATTTAGCCAAGATTACCTGATAAAGGAAAAAATACCCAGTGGAAAAAAATAATAAAATCCTGAATTTCTACAATGTAACACACAACAACAGAATACAATCCAAAACTGTCATAGTCAGAGGCCCTTTAGGGACAAAGGAAAAACTTCTGAGCCCTTACCCTTTCACTCATTAAAATCATGATTTGTCAGACTGGCAGGTCTGTGGACGCCCTACCGAGGTCGCCAGTGGCACGGAACACGCTGAATCAGCCCACTGCAGATAGGCAACCACCTGGTTCCACACTACAAAGACTCAGAGGACACTGGACCACCAGACCACGGTACTGAGTCCTGTCATTCCTGGCCCAGAGGTAGGGGCTTCTGGGCCGCTGTCCCACTGCTCCTGGTCCAGAGGAAGGGGCTTCCCAGCCACCATCCCTCCCGCTGCTCCGAGCCCAGAGGAAAGGGCTTTTGGGCCACCATCCCCACCACTGCTCCCGTCCCGTCCCACCTCTCCCAGATCAGAGGAGGTAATCCATGCAGGCGGCAACAGCCTCCCCACCCCCCCCCAGTGAGAAAACACGTAAATAAGTCTCAAAACCAGACTTCCAGATCACTTATAGCAACCCCAAAGGGAAATGAGATGGAACACTCTGATACTCAACCACCTGGACCCACTGAACTGGCAACA